GTTGGGCTTGTGAAACACTCAAAATTAGGTATCACAATCCATCAATCAATAATAAATAGCTCTAATTTCACTGTGAGTTACATTTTATGATTTTGTTATAATTATAACTAATCATTTCATAATATCGCAAACATTTATTTATTTATTTAGATGGAGTCTTGCTCTTGTCACCCTGGCTACAGTGCAGTGGCACGATCTTGGCTCACTGCAACCTCTGCCTCCTGAGTTCAAGTGATTCTCATGCCTCAGCTTCCCAGGTAGCTGGGATTACAGGCTCACGCCACCATGTCAGGCTAATGTTTGTATGTTTAGTAGAGATGGGGTTTCACCATGTTGGCCAGGCTGGTCTCGAACTCTTTACCTCAGGTGATCCACCTGCCTCAGCCTCCCAAAGTGCTGGGATTACAGGCATAAGCCGGAGACGGGGTCTCACTATATTGACCAGGCTGGTCTTGAACCCCTGGGCTCAAGTGATCCTCCTGCCTTGTCCTCCCAAAGTGTTGGGATTACAGGCATGATCACCTTTTTAATAGGAACACATCATAATGAAAGGATGGAAGTAAAATATTTTAAAAGCCACTTCCAGGCCATGCGTCATGGTGGCCCAAGCCTGTAATCCTAGCCCTTTGGGAGGTTGAGGCATGTGGATCACTGGAGCTCAGTAGTTCAAGACCAGCCTGGCCAACAGGGTGAAACTCCCGCCTCTACCAAAAAAATACAAAAATTTAGGCAGGCATGTGCCTGTGGTCCTAGCTACTTGGGAGGCTGAGGTGGGCAAATCGTTTGAGCCCAGGAGGCAGAGGTTGCAATGAGCCGAGATCATGCCACCCTGCTCTCTACCCTGGGTGAAAAAGCCAGACCCCCATCACAAAAAAAAAAAAATATATACATATATATATACACACATATATATATATATATCTCAGTACAAATTAATATAAATGTAGCATTTTGGGGCTGGGTGCGGTGGCTCATGCCTGTAATCCCAGCATTTTGGGAGGCCGAGGTGGGTGGATCACGAGGTCAGGAGATCAAGACCATCCTGGCTAACATGGTGAAACCTCATCTCTACTAAAAATACAAAAACTTAGCCGGGCGTGGTGGCGTGCACCTGTAATCCCAGTTACTCAGGAGGCTGAGGCAGGAGAATGGCCTGAACTCGGGAGGTGGAGTTTGCAGTGAGCTGAGATCACGCCACCACACTCCAGCCTGGGCGACAGAGCGAGACTCCATCTCAAAAAAAAAAAGTAGCATGTTGGGAAGGATGATGCTGGGAGTGTCTAGAGATTTAATGTGCAACAAGAACTGTAGTAAATATAATTACAATATGAGGGATTTCTGCTAAATGAGATCTTAGCTGCTCCTGCCACACACACGAAAAACAGTAACTATGTGAGATGATGCATATGTTAATTTGCTTCCCTGTATAACCATTTTACTGTCTGTATGTATCCCATAGCATCATGTAGTATACCTTAAGTATACATAATAAAATTTATTTATAAATTAGCAGAGGCTTGATAAATATTAATTAATGGTGCTAAACAATTACCTTTCTTTTGTGTTTTCAAAATCCATATTAATTTTATTTATTTATTTATGATTAGCTTTCATATGGCCTTTTAAAAAAAATAGGCAACTGAAAGCTCTGCCTAGATGTTTGTTGGGTATTTCAAATTTAAGATATCAGGAATCAAATCCATTATCCTACTGAGAATGTGGGCTAATCTATAAGATAATTTGCTAAGACTCTTCAAAAAAAACAAACAAACAAAACAAAAAATCAGGCCAGGCGCGGTGGCTCATGTCTGTAATCCCAGCACTCACTCTGGAAGGCTGAGGTAGGCAGATCACTTGAGGTCAGGAGTTTGAGCCCAGCCTGACCAACATGGCAGAGCCTCATCTCTACTAAACATACAAAAATTAACTGGGCATGGTGGCACGTGCCTGTAATCCCAGGTACTCGGGAAGCTGAGGCAGAATGGCTTGAACCCGGAAGGTGGAGGTTGTGGTGAGCTGAGATTGTACCACTTCACTCCAGCCTGGGGGACAGAGTGAGACCCTGTCTAGAAAAATAAAAAAATAAAAAAAATTAAAGGTGATGGAGATGGAGAGGATGTCCTACATTAAAAGAGATAATGGAGGGGCCGTGTACGGTGGCTCATGTCTGTAATCAAGGCACTCTGGGAGGCCAAGGTGGGAGGATGGCTTGCGCCCGGGATGTCGAGACAAGCCTGGGCAACATATTGAAACCTCGTCTCTACTAAAAATAAAAATAAATTAGCCAGATGTGGTGGTGCACATGTATAGTCCCAGCTCTCTGCAGAGGGGGGCGGGGGAGTGCTAAGGCAAGAAGATTGCTGAGCCCAGGAGGTGGAGGCTGCAGTGAGCCATGATGGCACCATTGCACTGCAGCCTGGGTAACGGAGTGAGACCGTGTCTCAAAAAAAAAAAAAAAAAAAACTTTTTAAAATAGAAAATTATAAAACAGATGATGAAATGATAGACAGATCTATAGATAGATTTCCAAATGTAATGTGTGAACCTGAACCTGACTGGACCTCAGTTGTAGGGAAGGCCATTATAAAAGACATCTTAGGGATAATTGGAAAAATTTGATTTTAGATCAAATAGGAGATGAGCTGGAATTCCTGTGAATTTTCCCAGGTGTGATATTTATGGACTGTGGTAATGTGGGAGAATGCTAATGGTTCCTTCACTTCGGGAGCCTTCCATGTGTTTGGGGGACACAGTGCCTGCTTCTGCAACTTACTTCCAAATGCTCAGCAAAAGTGGTGGGCGGGTAGGGGAGGGGGGAGGTACATGGGGTGACATGTTAACGACTGTGGATCTGGGTAAAGAGCGTATAGGTGGGCCGGGCACGGTGGCTCATGCCTGTAATCCCAGCACTTTGGGAGGTCGAGGCGGGCGGATCACCTGAGGTCAGGAGTTAAGAGACCAGCTTGACCAATATGATGAAACCCTATCTTTACTAAAAATACAAAAATCAGCTGGGCGTGGTGGCGGGTGCCTGTAATCCCAGCTACTTGGGAGGCTGAGGCAGGAGAATCACTTGAACCTGGGAGGTGAAGGTTGCAGTGAGCCGAGATCGCGCCATTGCACTCCAGCCTGGGCAACAAGAGCGAAGCTCCGTCTCAAAAAAAAAAAAAAAAAAAAAAGAGTATGCAGGTGTTCACTGTACTAATCTTTCCATTTTTACACAGCTTTGAAATTTTTTCAAGAAGAAAGGAAAACAAGCAAACACCCAGAAAGTACACTGAACTCTGAGTGAGAGAACTAGGAAGCTAGTGCGTCTCTCAAAAGCTGCTGAACAGGTAACAGAACAGGTAAGATCAAATGTGGGTAGGTGTCAGGTAACAGTCTCACTCATCAAGTACGGGCTTGGAGATGAAGTTCTGAGAAAAAGACTGTTCAAGTCCATCCAGGCTCTGGGATGCGGGTGTCCTGCTGGCCGGACCAAGCTACATGCATGGGGGCTGAATGAGGCAGGAAGAAGATCATAAGAAGACAGGGGCACTGTTCTACCCTCTAAAATTTCCAGCCATCACCAACCGCTGTGTCTTCTTTCTACGCTGGTCCCTTTTGATGTCCTGAAATCGCCTCTCTATCTCTGGCTATAATCTCCCTGGCCTCCTTCTTCACTCACTCCCTGCTCTCGCTCCCAGCTGACAAATTTCCCAAATGGAAGCCCGACCACTTGCTCTAGAGCTCTGGGCCCAGGAACCCAGCCTTCCGTATATAAGGCCCACATCACCTGTGTCCCAAGTGGAACCTACTATATCTCACAGCTGTATCGCTTCTGCCCCTTCCCCCACGTGCTCCCTGTGACTTAATAGTTGCAAGAAAATAAAATCCCTGCCAGGCGTGGTGGCTCATGCCTGTAATCCTAGCACTTTGGGAGGTCGAGGCAGGTGGATCACTTGAGGTCAGGAGATCGAGACCAGCCTGGTCAACATGGTGAAACTGTGTCTCTACTAAAAATACAGAAACTAGCTGGGTGTGGTGGTGTGCACCTGTAATCTCACTTGCTTGAGAGGCTGAGACAGGAGAATCACTTGAACCCGGGAGGTGGAGGTTGCAGTGAGCCAAGATCGCACCACTGCACTGTAGCCTGGGTGACAGGGCAAGACTCTGTCTCAAAAAAAAAGAAAAAAAAAAATCCCTAAGACTGTACCAATATGGGCCCTTTCAGGGGCTTTGGAAATGTCTCATTTCCTTTTCTCATCAGCCTGATATGATTTCACATTGTTTTTCCAATGGGAGATGCTAAAGAGGTGAGAAGATTCAATAAATCCGCAAGAATAATATAATTTCTGGTTTTCTAAACATCACTGAATCTTTACACAAAGGGCTGGCAAGGTTACCCGCGTGAGGCCCGGTCCCCTCTGTGGCTGTTCCTGCTAACAGGTAGCCAGGGCGGACGTCCCAGGTGACTTGCCACCCACGTGCCGTCTGCCAGATGGCTCAAGTCCTTCTCTGGAAGGATCCGTTAGAAACCACTTCCTTCTACCGAGCCTAGGCTTGCTCCTCGTGGCTTCTGCCTGATGCTCTGTTTCAAGCCTGCGATCAAGTGGCATCCCTGTGCCCCCGCCAGCCTCTCACCAAAGCACCGCACACGTGGCAGTGGCAGCCCCAGACCAGCTCAGCGAACCAGACGACTTCCGAGAGGGAACGCATGGGCTCCTAAAGACCGTGATGAAAACAATCTGCCCATTGCAACCATACAGGGCGCTTCTGCTCGGAATCCACCACACCTCTGTATATTCTGAGCATAGCTTCCTTTTCCAGGAGAGCTTTCACCAAGGACCCAGTGGAAAATCACATCGCAGAGCCCAAAATATGCACGACGCTGGGTCGGAGCAGCCAGGAAGGCACCATCTGGGCAGCACCTTTTGCCCACAGCATTTCTTTAACGTGACTAAAAAGATGAATTAGCCACGAAGGGTGGCTCAGGATAGAAAATGAATAGAAAAGCTTACCTCTCCTTGGAAACTCTTCAGCAGCGGCGCTACCTGCTTGCGCAAATCCTGGAGCAGGAGGCGGAGGTCAGGAAGCAGCCATTTGAGAAGGAGAAAGAAGGGAAACATCGGTTAAGGCCTCCTAAAAACAGCATGGCAGTCAGTGCTGATTATCATCTAAAGCAAGCCTGGGGACCTCACCCGTTCCTGCACTCCTAAAACATGAATAACGCCAACTGGCGCTCCAGGATTTAAACTTATTTAAGAATACAACGAGGTGGTTCTTTCTTGTTGTTGTTGTTGAAGACAGGGTCTCATTCTGTTGACCAGGCTGGAGTGCACTGGCACAATCCCGGCTCACTGTAACCTCTGCCTCCTGGGCTCGAGTCATCCTCCCACCTCAGACTCCCAAGTAGCTGAGACTACAGGCATATGCCACCATGCCTGGTTAATTTCTGTATCTTTTTGTAGAGACAGGGTTTCATCATGTCGTCCAGGCGAGGGTCAAACTACTGGGCTTAAGAGATCCGCCCACCTGAGCATCCCAAAGTGCTGGGATTACAGCCGTGAGCCACCCCACCAGCCTACAACGACTTTTTATTTCTACTAACTCCTGGTCACATATACCTCATTTTGAATGTGCTACAGACTAAAGCTTTTGGTGATGTCAGTTTAAATGAGATGATTCGCTTGGAATAAAAGAGACTAGAATGGGTGGTTTGACTGCTGTTTCTACCTGAAATGGACCTGGGCCACTGCACTGTGTTTTAGCTGCCTTTTTTTTTTTTTTTTTTTTTTTTCTCTCTCTGTAACCCAAGCTGAAGTGCAGTGGCACAATCTCAGCTCACTGCAACATCTGCCTCCCGGGTTTGAGTGATTCTCTCGCCTCAGCCTCCCAAGTAGCTG